AGCATTATCATCTCCATTCTCAATCAAGCAACTCAGAATCTTCATCATGATCTTCATCAAGTTCGAATTTAGAGGTGAGTTCTATTAGTTAGGAACTTGGGTAGAAATTTGTGGGGAAGATTGCATATGATTAAGGGTTTAGTTGTGATCAATACATTGCACGTGTGATTAAATGATGAAAAATGTGTTATGTAATAATATTATATGCAATTGGTTTCTAATACTTGTTAGGATTCAGATTGAGATTGATTGGGATGCAAAAATGGGTGTTATAACCCTAAAATCCGTGTTCTGTTCTGCCAGGTTCGATCAGTGAACTATGTGTTCACTTAGAGATAGTCTACAATTGAACCAAAATTATGTATCACTAAAATGACCATAACTTGAGTTCTACAACTTAAAACGGAGCGCGGTTGGAAGCGTTGGAAATGTATTTTAATGCCTCACATGGATATGACTGGATATCATGCCTTTAATTCATTGGGGGATATGGAAATTGGAGATTAAAGTGGCATAATATTGAATAAGTATAAACGATCTTCGGAAATGGTGGTTGAAATGCAATTCCTTTTGTGTTAATCTCATCCTAAGTTGTCAATCTTGTTTATACATGTGATGGATGGACTATAAACCTGCTCCTTGATTGGAATGGCTATGTGGATTTGGTTTTGGTGCATTCTATGCTTTTTTTAAGTTTGCACATTCGCTTAGCGAGCTATAGTTTGCTTAGTGATAGTCTGTAGCTAACAAGAAGCTTTGTGAAGTGAACTTTGCTTAGAAAACTCTGTGTTCGCTTAGCGACAGTCTGGGACTAGAAAATAAATTGTTCGATGGGACTTTGCTTAAAGAGTCGGGACCCCTCCGTGAGTTCGCTTAGCGAATATCGTTTTCAAAAACATCGTGAAGTCTCTAACTTCGTTCACCGGGGCTTCGCTTAGAGAATCGGCTTTCGCTGCCAGTTTGCATAGCGAACATTCTTGGACAAAACTGTGTGTTTTTCCCTGAGTGTAGTTCCCTTCCGTATCGGGAATCATAAGCCTCTCTGTTTGTGTGACAAATGTTATGGTTCCATGTTATGATCTGTATAATGCCATATTATGATCAATTATGCTACTTGTATGTATATATGCTTAATGAGTGCATTTGGTTGGAAATGATATAATGTGATTAATTGGTGTTTGATTGCGTTTGTTCCGGTTAAACATTCGGATGTGGCATAACACATAATCGATGGGAATGATCTGGTGTATACTCATCGAGTATGTTGTGATATTTTTGCATTATCTAATACACGATGGGAATGATCTGGTGTATACTCATCGCATATGTCGACATCATTATGCATTTGCATTTTTGTCCTCCCCCAATAGGAATGATCTAGTGTATACTCATTGACGGAAAGTGACAAATGGGCATAATCACCGCTCACAATGGGAATGATCTGGTGTATACTCATTAGTTGGTGTGAGATATGTGGTTACTCGATGGGAATGAACTGGTGTATACTCATCGTATTACCGGGGAAATGCTAGTGCTTGATGAGAATGATCTGGTGTATACTCATCGTGTTACTGAGAAAGACATTTTCTCTAGTAGGAAAACATCAATAAATGAAGGTTTTGGTGGGGTTGTGATGCCATGTAGGCACAAGTCATTTTGATTACTCTCCCATAGTGATGTCAAGTAGGCAATATCACTAGGCTTTCGCCGGTGGGCTGGTACATTTATGGTGACATGGTTGTACTAGTAGTTAACACTTTTGCGTGCTTGTTTGGTTGTGTTTGGATGTGCGCATGTGTTATCTCATTGGTTGGTCACGGGACCTCCAATGGTGATGTTATCCTTGTTGTGTGTTTGTACCAGACTGTGAGGAAACTATTAGAACATAGTTTGATTCTACATCTTAGTAATAGTTTTTATGAGAACAAATACATGATATATATAAAGAAAAAATATGCTCTCTAATAAAGTATTTGAATATGCAGACAAATTCTGATGAAAGGGCATATAAGATGATAATAGAATTATTTTTAAAAGCTCTAATTAGACGAAGCGTACAACCTTAGAAAGAAAATCCGTGTAACACGCTCAATAGAAGAAGTTCTGATGCTATATCTTCTAAAGCACCAAAGCTGCAAGCTAAATCCCGATACTCTGATAAGTGAAGTTCTGGTAGAATAAAGGAAGTCTCAATGCACTTATCTATACTAAAGTTCTAAAAGACTCAGCAGTTAAGCTCAAGCTATACTCTGATAACTAAGTATTATGAAAGTGAAAAGAAGCTTCAACATGTCTGTCTCATCAAAGTTCTAATCATATGAATATCAAGAAACTCTAAGGATCCAAAGTCTCAACAATAATATTCTCATTCTAATCAAATTTCAAAGAAGCAAAGTTCTGATGCGTTGCAATTCATTCATTACAAATCAAAGAATAACGGCTGGAACAAAACAATATATGCATTTTTGGAAAGTGCATTAACAACACTTTATCAACTTTCCAAATTCATCTTCTCATGTCTCACATGCTTCTCCTATATAAATGAGTCTTGAAGAAATGATGAAAAACACCTTTTTATGCATACAAAGATATATCTTTACTAGCTCTCTCTTGTGCTTTAATCTTGTCTATAAATCACATTTGTGATATATTTTTTTCTAGAAACACTATTGCATACATTTTTAATTTATATTTTGTAATACCTTGAGAAACCAAGTTGTGGTTTAGTCTCAAGAAGACATTGACGGTAGTCATTGTGTTTGTGTAATCAAAGTTTTTGATTAGTGGATTAAGACCTCGTTTGAGAGAGGCGAAATCACCTTGGCGGATGGACTGGAGTAGTTTGAGTTCAAATGAACCAGGATAACCAAACGTGTCATAATGTTTTTATTTTTGAAAACCCCAATTCAAACCCCCTTTCTTGTGTTTTTCTATCCTTCAGAAACCCTGAATCCACGATGGATCCATTTGTTTGTTAGCACCCTAGAGATCCAAGAGAATCCATAAGATAGGAGAACTCACTGAGATTTAGTAATCTCACCCCAATCCTATTATTATTTTTCACGCATAGGTTACAGGTAGAAAAGTGTCTAGATAGTCTACATCGAAGACTATGGATGAGCAGACGGCAGGAAGACCTCACTAGATTTTATCTTTTCGTTGTGCATTTTTATAAACAAGTTATTTCTATACATTTTTATCTGCAAAGTTGTATTGTATACAACTTTAATTCTTGTCAATTTCCGTTTTTGTATGTTTTCATGTACCATATAATACCATATGCATATTATTCTAGACATATATGTATGGGGTATTACAATTGGTATCAGAGCAGGTCAATTCTTATCCCTGTCATGAAACATCAATAAAAATTCTCTTCCCCCTCATATGTGCGTGTTGCTAGCCTGATTTTTACTATCATGGTATTCGATTGTTGAGCCTGATCACCTCATTAACTACATACGTGATGGATAGGATCATGTTGGAGCCACCACGAGGACACGTAAGATCCAGAGCGACCCGATCTGAAGTGGTAGAAGTCGGCTAAGTAAGGGGAATATTGGGGGTCGGCAGGTGTAAATGGAGTGTTTGATGTGGGATTTTTGACAGCCCAACTTTCGTAGTAAAGTGTAAGACCACTGGAGGCTCTAAGGTTTTGCCTGGCTAAAGTGAACTTTCTCAAAGTCCCTGTAGCCGAGGAGGAGACTCCAGGAACACCTAAGGAGGAATGTGGTGAGGGAATGATGTGATGGAGCTGAGCTTGAAGTCGATAGACTTCACTGCTCAATTCTGGTGCCATGATGGATATGACTAGAGAATCGGTTAGATGGAAGACCTTGGGAGTTTGGATAGAGAGACCAGACCTCCCTGGGTACTCTGGCATGAGTAATAGTTGGGTGGACGAGGTACGACACTCTGACTTATTTTGATGTACCCTAAGCGGTGAGTGGTTATCTAGTAAAGGATTGATAGGATGTGCGGAAGTGATGATCTTCAATTGGGCAAATCATGGATACTCGATTGATAGAAGGAATTATTGTATTTCTGTTCTTGCCAATATGTGCTTAAGTTCTAGAACTACGCCTAGATGGAAGCTGAATTGAATAAAAGCGTGAAATGCAGTAGCCTAAATTACTTGTTAGTTATGGTACATCTAATTTCGAGTGAGGCCATAAAACTACACTTGGCGTCAGATGATTAGGTCGATGAAAGCTAGTGTCTAACTGAGACATTAGTGGAGTGACCGCAATCGTATTGGTTGTTTGAAACCATAATATTTCTATCTGATAGGAATGATCCCTGTAATCCCTTGTGCGTGCTCAGTGAGAGTAAATACACATGAATTTATTATACATAAGTGTATTATACATGAGTCTATTAAAACATATTGACAATGTAAAATTAATTTACAATGATACTATCATTCATTTTACTTTCTTTTTTTTTAATGATATAGCAAGTAGCAATGAATTCATTTTACTTTTTTAAAACTGATATGACAAGTAGCAATGAACTATATATCAATTTGGTTTTTTCTCGATAAAGAATATGAATTTGTTTTAAACAAAGAAACGACACATATTATATTTAAAAATACCTTAACTATAAGATATAAATCAATGTAATATCTATTTGTTTATTTTGGTACAAATTTCTATAAATAGAATGTAACAAATCTGTTATTACCAAATAAAACCTCTTCTCAAAAATAACAAATTGCATGATATCCAGGAAAATAAAAATGTAACAGTTACAAGTATAGGATAACAACTATGAGAAAGAAATTAAACAAACATTTGCCGTAGTACCACAGCTAATAAACTTCTTTTGGTTAATTTGTAGATTTCGTTTGTACACAACTTCATTTATATTTAAAGTGTTGCCAACCTATCACACTAAATCTTTCTCATTTTCCACCTAGCTAGACCCAAAAAAAAACATAAAACTCTAAACCTTAATTGTGTTCTCCACATTCCCCTTTCAATCCATCTTCACTAACCATGAACACCATACAAGAATTAGACATTTTCACAAGGTTGTTTCTTCTATTAATCTTTCTAGCCCTATTCATTCGAGTTTGTTACGTTTATTTTTCGTTACGCAGTGATCAACGCATTCAAGATCCAAATTTCAACCTAACACCGATACAACATTCTCGCGCCGATGAAAAAAGCACCGTGATAGGGCTCTCTAGGAGTGTCATCAATTCTTACCACACATTTCCTTTCAATAAAAACCACATTGCGACTATTAATAAGGATAGCGATTACGACACCATTTGTTCTATATGTATTTCGGATTACAAGGAGCAAGAGATTTTGAAGATGATGCCGCAATGTCGCCATTATTTTCATCGAAATTGTGTTGATACATGGTTGAAGGTTAATGCTTCGTGCCCAATTTGTAGAAATTCGCTATTACAAGGAAATGATGGTGATGTATCAAACTTAGAAGCTGTCTAAATTAATCATCTAAATATTGAAGTAGGAAGAGAATGTTTTCTTTTTCTTTTGTGGTGCAGCTTCTTGTTTCTCTTTTGTAATTTAGATAAATAGAATATTGAGTAGATGAGTTGAAGCATTTTGTATTGTTATCTTTGGTCAAGTCAATGAGAGCGTTAAATTTTTAATGGTTACTTGACAAATACCTACGGTGCTATATATCGCACGAGTTTCCTATTAACATTATGTTAAAAGTGTAAGTATAGGCATGGAATAAATAATATGTTAGATTAAGTATAAGTAATATCACAAAATTTAAGAGATACAATTGTGACTAAAAGTAATATATTATAAAATTTTTATTTAAAATATTTTATAAAAAATTAGATTAAATTAATTGATTAATGACAACTAATATATTTGTCATGGGTGTGAGTTATATGTGCAAACGATTTGTTGAATGACTCGTTTTCGGAAGGATAGTTGATTATTTTTATTTATAATTAATTTATTGTAATTATTCACTTGTTTTTATAATATTTGGAAAATAGTACTTTTTTTGGTTTCTTAGTAAAAAACAATAACTCTTTAATAACAAATGTGTTAGATAAAAATCAGTAATTTAAGTGTTGTAATCGATTAATACAGGAGTGTAATCGGTTTCAATTTAGTGGGAAAACACTTCTGGATAAGGAAAATGCAGTTTTGGAGTTGCGTTTATCAATTAACAAAATGCGTTAACCGATTACACCTAATTGATATTTTTCTGTTTGTATCACCTGTAATCGGTTACATCCCTGAGTTTTGCCATTTTCTTGTATTTTGTTAATGTGTTTTAGGTCCCAGTCATTTTGTAACACTTGTATAAATGTCTTGGAGACATCCTCATCTTTAGTTAATGCAATTGCTCATTCTCACCCTCAATTCTTTATCTTTCTTTCTCTAACTCTCTCTTCTCCCTTACTATCTTCTTCTCCATATACCCTAAACCCTCAATTATTCACCAATTATGAGATTGCATGTTCCAACATTTGACATCAAGAGTTTGATTCTGATCCATAAACATTTATTGTGCAACATGAATATTGCCTTCAATGATAGAGCCCATACAAACCTTCCTCTCCTTGAAGCAAAGAATTACGATAAATGGTGCAAGCAAATGAAGGTGTTGTTTTACTACCAAGAAGTTCTTGAAATGATCAAGAATGATGTAATTCCTCTTGTTGAAGGTGCAACAGATGCACAAAAGGCCACGTACAAGGAAAAAAGAAGAAGGATTACAAGGTGCTATTTTTTATCCATCAATATGTAGATGTTGACAACTTTGAAAAAATTGGTGATTATGAATCATCGAAATAAGGTTGGGAAATCTTGAAGAATGCTTATGCAGGGGTTGATAAGGAAAAGGTGGTGAAGTTACAAACTCAACATCAATTTGAATTAATTCAAAGGGAAGAAAAGTAGACAATATCTGATTACGTGACGCGAATTACACGGTTGGTGAACCAAATTAAGTCAGGTGGAGAGATTGTTTCTGAGTAGAATGTTGTGTCGAAGATCTTGCATTCTTTGAAGGCAAGATTTGATAATATTGTAGTGGCAATTGTAGAGTCAAAGGATCTTCCGACATTGAGAAAAGAGGAGCTTCAAATCTCTCTTGAGGCTCATGAGAAAAGGATGGAAGAGAGAAGTTGAAGGTGTGAATAAAGTGCAAGAAAGGGGGGTTTGAATTGGGTTATCCTTTCTTGAATAACTTTCCCTTCTAAGAATTATACGTTGAAAAATTCTTATGAGTGTTACTTATAAGTAATTCTTCCAATTAAGTTAAGAAAGCATAAACTCTAAAGCATAAGCAAAGGTAAAGAACACGAGATATATCCTGGTTCACTTGAGAAACCCCCAAGCTAGTCCAGTCCACCCTACCAAGGTGATTTCATCTTGAACTCAAGGACTTAATCCACTATAACCACTCTGATTACAATCGCACGGGAAACTGCCGGTGACTAACATCCAATGACATGTTCAATGATCCAGACTGGATATAATGTTCATTGACCCAATAGAATTTGATCCCTCAAAATCTCCTACCTGGATTTCCTTCCAATGATATCCATCAGTGATCTCAGAAGGCTGACCTTCACTCAGTCCCTTTGAAATATGACTACCATTGATCCAATAGAAACCACTACCAGGATTTCATAATGACCTTCAGTCACTATCTTCTTGAGCACAAACCTTCACTCAGCCTCTCAAGGTATCATCAAACAACTGTTTTATTTACATTTGTTTACAATAATAATGCTTCTACATAAGCTGTATGTAAACAGAATTAAGTACATCAGAAGAACCTAACACACACTAAAAATATTATATTGTATTGTATCTTGATGTGTGGTCTTCTTTTCTTCAAGTAGCTTCTCCTTGGACAACATCCCAAAGCACTTGAGTCGCTGAAGTCTTCTTCTTCATAAGCCTCTAGAACATTTATTGATATTGATGTAGTAAAGAGAAGAACGTCTTCATCTTGATTCACCTTAGAACATTCTGGACATAAGCCCTTGTTCTATTTTCTTCAATGATCACTTTAGATCATAACATTTATGTTGTGGATTTGTAACTGGAGCTTTCATGATCATCTTCATTATCTTCTGCGGCTTAGCAAGCTTTGTGCAACATATGAAATTAAGCACATTGTGAATCAATGATTTCATTGTAATCATTATCAACATGATTAAAGAATAATTTTGATAACATTTGTTCTTCTTGTTGTTATAGTGGTTGATATCTTTTTGGTTGTGTTCCAATAATGACATCGTTCATTTTTTACATTGAACACCAACAACATTTTAAACATACAATTCTTTTCTTATATAGCCAAGCAAAATATAGTCGTTGGATATTTGAAAAAGAGTTGTTACAAATAGTGCTGCTACGTCCTTTTCTCTTCCATAATTCAAGCTAGTGGAGAGGTAGTGGAATAAGGCTTTTTCGTACTGTGCACTATTGTACCATGTTACCCGTATATTCTTTCCTTGTGCACTTTAGAGGCTTCTGCCAGCATGAGTTTAGAATCGGGAACATAACATAAGGTCTTCAGAACTTCAAGTCTTCAAAGTCTTTAGAATTGCGTCTTCAGAGTCTTCAGCACTTGGTCGTGAGAATCTGTTGTAGAGAACCTTTGATCAGAAGAGCTTCAAGTCTTTAGAGTCTTAAAAAAATGCGTCTTTAGAGTCTTCAACACTTGGTCTTGAGAACCCACTATATAGAACCTTGGATCTTTAGAACTTCAAGTCTTTTGAATCTTCAAAACTTCCGTCTTTAGAATATTTAGAACTTGGTTCTTTAAGAATCCTTTTAAGAACCTTGTTATTAGAAACACAAGTCTTCAACATCTGGACTTCAGTAGAAACTTTGTCTTCAGATCTTCTAACTTTATCTTCTTTGAAACAAGTTGTCTTTTAGAAACTAATTTTTTAGCATCTGGACTTCAGTAGAAACTTTGTCTTCATATCTTCTTACTTTATTTCTTTGGAAAACATGTTTTTATAAACTTGAGTCTTTAGCATCTTGACTTTAGTAGAAACTTAAGACTTCAGATCTTCTGGCTGTTTCCTTAGAACATGTTGTCTTTAGAAGCTTGAGTCTTTAGCATCTGGACTTAAGTAGCAACTTTTGTCTTCAGATCTTCTGACTAGTTTCTTTAGACAAACATCAAAGTTTATACTTAAGAGCCTTATTGAGTGTCTTTCTACTGTTCAACAGAACTTGTGTAGCGCAGAAGCGGAACTAATTATCTTCTAATGTCTTGGTCACGCCATCCATCAGAAGCAGAACCTGTTTGTTAAGTACTCAACAATAATAAACATTAGTACAACAAAATTGTTCATACAAACATACTCGTTTGTTATCATCAAAACTCAGAGAAATATTACAGAGCCAAATATTTTTCTTACAATCTCCCCCTTTTTGATGATGACAAAACTATGTATTTTGATGACACAATTTTGTTCATATAATCAGAAAAAGTGAAAATAGAAGGGTAAGGAATACTTGTCCTTTTTATAATACTCGCCCTGAGTCAATGACTTGATGAAGAATTAATATCCTGACTCTGAACCATTTGAATAAAAATCCCCTTGGTTCCAATGGATCAGATATTGATATCTTTATGGTCTTGACTTTGGACGCCAATAATTGAAATCTTGATATTTCAGACAGTCTTCAACTTCTGATTTGCTCAGTTCTTCTGGGAGACATTTGCTTCTGTTTTTTATTCTTATGTTCCGAATTTTACCTTTCTTAGATAGTTTACATCTTCTGAACATTATGATACCAAGATCAAGATGACTTTAACTTTCAAAAGTTCTCAACTTCATAACAGTATTGGGTCTATCTGATATTTGAATATATGTTCATAAAGTATACATCTTCGATTATATGAATAATCAGTCTTTAAGAGATTAAACAAATTTATTTCATTTTTACCGGTCTTAGAATGCCTAGTGAACTTGTTCATAGTTCCTTGGTTAATCATCAAACAATCAAACAAGAGTCAGCGGTAAGTGCACATTTTATATCATTTTATTATGATGCGTTTTTGCATTTCTTTAGGTTCATCAAAATTATTATACTTTTCCCCCTTTTTGACATCATCAAAAAGATAACTATTCATGAAAAACATTAAACATTAAAGGGCTTTTAACCTAATATTTCATTCAAGGGATTTCAGAGTACATCAAGAGAAAATTGAAAAATAGAAGAAAGCTTAGATTATACATCTAAAATTATTACATACAAGATTTCAATCATCAAAGTCTTGAACTGTATCAACTCTAGTACACCTTTCTTCAACCAATGAATTATCCAGTCCATTCTTCTTTATCAACTCCCACATCATGTCTTGGATCATTATCTCAGATAATATCCTTTCATAAGGAATATAGGATTGAGTATGTGCTCTTGATATTTCAATGGAGTGTTTCAGATGATTGAATATGGTTTTGGGAAGGTTGACTTTGAAG